CGAAAATGACTGGCCAAGGGTGTGCTCACAGGCTTGGCGTCGCCCATGTTGAATCTCTGCAAAACACGGTTGATGTACTCCGTCTGAGATAACTGCAAGAGACCTCTCTTCTTATCTCTCGTGATTTGCATTCCAAGGATCTTCTTCGCTGGACCCAAGTCCTTCATGTCAAACTCCTTTGACAGCTGCTGCTTCAAACTCTTGATATCCTCCATATCTGCTCCTGCAACCAACATATCATCAACATACAGCAGTAGGATGATATAGCTGGACTGATATCTTTTGAAGTAGCAACAGTGGTCGGCGTTGCACTTCTGGAAACCTTCCTTGTGCATGAAGCCGTCAAACTTTCTGTACCACTGTCTTGGGGCTTGTTTCAGGCCATACAAGCTCTTCTTGAGTCTGCACACCAGGTTCTTCTTCTTTTCTTCTGAGAAACCTTCTGGCTGGTGCATGTATATCTCCTCTTCTAGATCTCCGTGAAGAAACGCCGTCTTCACGTCTAACTGCTCGAGATGAAGATCTTCAATTGCTACAATACTCATCACGGTCCTGATAGTATTTAGCTTCACCACGGGAGCGAAAATATCGGTGTAGTCAATTCCTTCCTTCTGCTGGAAACCTTTGACAACCAATCGGGCTTTATATCTCCTGGAACCATCCTGCTCCTCTTTCACCCGGTACACCCATTTGTTGTGGAGTGCCTTCTTACCCGTGGGCAACTCAGCTAGTTCCCACGTCTGGTTTGATATGAGAGACTTCATCTCATCTTTCATTGCAAGCTCCCACTTGCTCGCATCTCCACACTGACAAGCTTCATCAAAGCTTTCAGGCTCCCCACCATCTGTCAACAACAGATAGTTCATGTATCTCCTGTTGGGTACAGGAGGACGAGAAGATCTTCTTAATATCGGAGCTGGTGCGTCGGGCTCCTGCGCACCATCTTGTCCAACAGGCTCTTCTTGCTGAGGACCCTCTGCATTGGGTTCTTCCGAGAGGTTACTCGGGACATCATCTGCATCTACAAATATTGACTCGCTCTCTGAGTCATCTGTCTTGTGCATGTCCTTGTACATCACCTTCTCGTTGAATATCACATCTCTGCTCCGGATCTACTCGGGACATCATCTGCATCTACAAATATTGACTCGCTCTCTGAGTCATCAGTCTTGTGCATGTCCTTGTACATCACCTTCTCGTTGAATATCACATCTCTGCTCCGGATCACCTTCTTGTTTTCGTTGTCCCAAATGCGGTAGCCGAACTCATCTTCACCGTAGCCGATGAAAGTGTATTTCTTTGACTTGGGATCAAGCTTATTCCTGCTTTGATCACTAATATGCACGTAAGCTACACAACCGAAAACTTTTAGATGTGAGAGTTTTACCTCCTTTCCGCACCATACCTCCTCTGGTATTCTGTGCTCCAATGGAACCGATGGACCTCGGTTGATCAAGTAAGCTGCTGTGTTGACCGCTTCTGCCCAGAACTGCTTCGGTAGGCCTGATTGTACTCGAATGCTTCTGGCTCTCTCCGTCAACGTTCGGTTCATCCGCTCAGCTACACCATTTTGCTGAGGCGTGCCGGGCACGGTTCTTTCTATTCTGATCCCGTGCTCATAGCAGAACTTCTTGAATCCGGTGTCTTCATACTCATCGCCATTGTCAGTCCTGAGCTTCTTTATTTTCAGACCGGTCTCATTCTCGACCATAGCTTTTCATCTCCTGAAAGCTTCAAATACTTCTGACTTATGCTTCAGAAAGTAAACCCACACTTTCCGAGTGTGATCATCGATAAAAGTCACGAAGTAGTGTTTCCCACCAATCGACGCAGTGGTGGTTGGTTCCCAAACATCTGAGTGAACGAGCTCTAGCTTCTGCTTCCTGGGGGTTCTGCCACTCGTCTGAAAGCTGACTCTC